TCACATTACATGAATTAATCAAGGGATTCATACCACAATCATTAGTATTCAAAGTTACATCAATGTTGAAATCTAGAAAAAGGGTCAGGAAAATAATTATCAAAGGAATAGTTAACTTCAAAGAGTACTTAAAAGACTACTGGAAGGAATGGTATGAAAAAGTGACACTATGAGAAGCTAAAAATAATATTACTAAAGATTGAAAAAAAAAGGAAAAAATAATTTAAAAAAGGTGAGGGAAATAAGAGAATATAATGGTAGTATAAAGTTAGTAGAAACTAATGAAGGGAAATACAGTAAAATAGAACAATAGGAAAGAGCATTATACATAAATTTAGAATGTGGATTAACTTGGGATGCAAATATAATAATAATTATAGTTATATATATAATAATTATATCTGATGGGGTTTTGGCCATCAGTTCCCGAGGTTACACTTAGGCAATGATAAGTTGGACAGTAAAATGTTATTTTTAGTCAGTTTCAATAAATGTAAAATAAATTATTTATATCTTTAAAATTTACACCTAATTTATTAATAAAAGTTTATTGGAGCAAGACTCCATTGGATTTAAAAAAAGAAAAAATGTAAATGAGAATATAATGGATATGGTGAAATGAATTTAATATTTGTAATATTTTATTATCATTAATGCAAATATCTAATATATTCTGAGAATAACATTATTCACTAAAATATCCCTTTAACGGAAAAAGAAAGAATAATTTCATTTTGAATTGACTTTCAGGTCGATAAATATGCAAGATGATATTTTTACTAATGAAATTATTCGATATACTGTTCATAATAAAAATATACAAATGAAAAATAAAGTATGCATGAAATCCGTGAATGCTGAATACAAAAAAAAAATGCGAAACACTGTATCAATATAAATCTCCCGTAAACTTTTTCTAAATTAATTGCATTTTATTTTATCGATTTTATTATTACTTCTTATTTCATTATTAGAATACTTTCTATAACCATATTTTATTTAAAAAGTTAAATAGTAAACCGGTCTAAACGTGAAGAGACTCATGTTTGTGATTTTTTTTTGAGACTTATTCACTTATTACATCATCACAAAGTTTAAAATTTTCTTCAATTTTCACGATATTGGATAGATTTATAGGTGCGCACAAGCAAAAACAATATATCGTGATTAATAATATATATTCGAATAAAAATAAATCATTCCTTTATTACTTTGTTGAATTTAATTACATAGTACATTCCTGCAACATTTATTTTTAATAAATCAACACTTAAATAAAATTGTTATTCATAATTACTTCCACTTTGCACCCATTCAAGATCCATTTTCAAGCATTTTTCTCAAAATAAGACTCAGCATTTGATGATTTCCACTCTTTTTCAATTGATTCTCCTGTTCAGCTCAGTGTAATTACTACTGGAACACGGCAAATGTTTTATTTTACAAGATTATGACTTTCAGAAAATATTTAGACGTTTAAAAAAGATTAATATAATTGCTGAAATTAATTCAAAAAATTTAGACGGTTGACAATATGCCAATAAAATTTCAAAGTTTCGTCAAACAAATATAAATAAGTTCTCAAATTTCATTTTGTAAGCGAACTCAAATTCTATAATGTTGGATTCAATTTTGGGACTTAATGTTAAGAATTAGAAATACCATATTAATATTATGTTTACAAAAGAAAAATTACAAATTGATAAATTTGTTATAAGCAAATAATATATAAAGTTTATGTTATATTTATTCAGTAGATACAAAAAAATTAAATATAAATAAATGTAATTAAAATAAAAAAATTTTTACCAAAAAACTGATCAATAATGACAACCTCAATATTATAACATTCACGATAGGTAAATGCACCCTCTGTATATAAATAATTCTACATTCTATTAAATAAATATTGTTCTTTTTCTAAAATTATAATTACCTAAACTTTATAACTTTTGATGAAAAATCTTAGATTTACAATTATCTTTAATTTAAAATCTACATACTGTATATATAAATTCAACTTTAATGCACAAATTATGATGATCAACCTGTACAACAGTTTTTATTATAAATTCCTTCATAGGAAATCTGAATATGTAAACATTGTATTCGACTTTCTATTTGATTACAATTAATTAAAAAAGTTATTTTTTCGCTAAAATAAATTTCCAGCAATAAATAATTCGACCAATTTTTAATTAAAAATTAAATGTCTTCTCAAATGATTTTCTTTTCTTTCCCCATTTATATAACAGGACGGTGATAAACTATTTAAGTGATTTAAAAAAACTTCTAAAGAATTTTTGGCATTTTTCATGTCTATCTTTATTCAATATAAAAATTATAAGGCCTATAATCTCTTTTCGAATTTTTCCACATAATTATTTTTATAAAAATATCGAAATGAACAACTTAAATGACATCCTCGTTAATATAAACAGAACTTTAATTTTTCCTCCATCATTATCAACTGAAGAAATTGTCCTTCGTTTCAATTCCAAGAGTCCTTTTCGAAGTCACAAAAAATGTCACGGATTTATGTTGTTGAAAATTTCGGTCGTTAAAGAATGCCAAAGATTAGGAGAAAATAATAAAACGATAATCAAATGTGCAGCGGATTACTTGTGGAGAAATTCTACAAGTCAAGAAAAATCGGAATATATTGATTTAGCACAAAGAGTTAACACTTTAATATTAAAATAAAATTAATGAACTTTCTTCTTTTATTCAAGATTATTTCATTAAACGTATTGCATAAAAAAAATTTAAAAATTAAAAAAAAAATTATCTATTCAAGCATAAATATAAAGGACATGGCACTTTTGCGTACAAATTTTTTAATTTTCGAAACTCTTGTACTCTTAATTTTCGTGAATCATTCTTTATCTTCTTATTATCATTATTAATTTAATAATTATTCATTGATTTATTTTAGTATATATTATTTAATCGAATATTTTTTGCTTTTATTATTATCATTATTATCTTATAATAATTATATTCATTAATTACATATTTAGTAATGTATTGCTTATCCTTTGTCGTTATTAATTTTTGTCGTTATTAATAATATAGATATATTTAGTAATGATGTACAATAGTTATTTCTTTTCGCAATTTTCGTAAACACAAACAAGCAAACCCAACAACACAACGCTTTTGTTATATGTATAAAAATACTATTTAGATTTTTTATTTTTTTACTTCAATACTGTATTTGTTCATTTGAGGGAGTTAACGGATTGTCTTTAATTAAATGTGTAATGCATGATAAAATAGCGAAATTGTTAGATGATTAGTGTGATTGTCAACCAATAAAAATAAAACACATGTTTAATTTCAGGCACATGATGTTCAGGTGATCGAAATTCGCGAGTGATAAATATTAGGTGACAAATATACTTTTCGTTTGTAAAAAACTAGGATATTGTCATGTCTGGACAGCACACTACAGAATTACACAACAAATCAAGTTCTCAGTCTCAATAATAGCTCACACTTCTTCGTGTATCGCTATACAATGTAACAACTTAAATAACAAAAACAAAGTCGTGAGTATAATCTGAAAGGTATGTAAGTGAAGTAGAGGTAATTTTCCCTACAAATACTATTGGTGTTAGAACAGATTTATAAGAGATAAAATGTTTATTTATGATTGAACAGTAAAAGAACATTTTATTAGAAGTTGGGCAACAAAATATTACAAAAACGTGTTTCTATTCTGTCACTATTTCTAACATTTATTATATAATTATTGCTATGTTTATCGCTATTTGTAAATGTTATTATAGTTATTTAATTAACAAAGAAAAAGATAAAAATAAAAGATTAAAGTGTTATTAATTTCTTAAGAAAATGCTGCAAAAAGGAACTCTTCTTTCTCTCTTTTACTACTGCTACTTTTATATTTCTCTCTCATCATTTTCTCCCTTCCTTCCATTATTCCCATCATCATTCTCATCATCGTACAACTCCATCATTCTCATCATTGTACAACTTCATCATTCTCATCATTTGTGTTCCCACACCACATGTTTTCTGCACTGCCATCTTCGTACCATCTTACCAATCATTCGTCGTCACTTCAATATCTAATAAAAATTGATATTCGAAGGTTGGGACACGAGGTGATGAATACACTACCTTTGAAAAACCCTAACCCTTGCGGTATAGGTTTGATATAAAATTTTTGATAAATAAAATACAATAAATGATTATTAATTCGTGATAATTTTATATATGTCGAATCCGACATTCCGTAAGAAAATATTGAATAATTTGTCTTCTATTGATCTTGGGAATCTATAATTATTACCATTAGATTTGCCTTGCTGAGACTGAGACGGATCCAATAAGCTAAATTTTATCTTTTTATGATCGATCGTTATATGACAAATTATCTTTAAAAGTTTTCAAATAATAAAATTATATTTTTCCAACTTTAATTTTTCGGTTATTGGGAAAGTGGTTTTTAATATTTATAAATAATATAAGAGATGGACTTGCATAATATAAGAAAACGCGACCTAGGACAAAAATTTTATGATCTTTTATCAAATTAACTTCTTGAAAGCCCTAATGATCGTAATGTCACAATTGAGGTTGAAGAACCAGTTAGCCAAATTTTGAAATTCGCTTTTACATTTTTGTAATCTCGTAGTACTTATTTTATAAATGAATTCAATGAATCTCATGTTAGAGTTAAAAATTCTAAATATTTCTACTATAACATCTCTCTTTAAATAATCTCCATTACTATTATCATATCACAACAACATTTTATTTATCTGCCATAACCACCTCACTTTTCTTTAAAAATTTTAAAAATATTAATTAATCTCTATTTTTACAACAATGATACTCATAACACTTAAACTTATCATGAATAAATTCAATTGTATAGGCAGTTTTACTTACTTGAGAAATTTTGCCAGAACGATATATAATAAAAAGTACAGTGTGACTATACAATACAGATAATCAAAATATCATCACAAAAGTTTCTTCTTATTCATCTCAAATGAGCTTTCAAACTGTTTATACATTGCGCGAGGCCCATTGAAACTTTACACTGTTTACTATTGAAAGTCCTTCCACATATAAATTCATACCTTGATTGCATAATCAACTCGTCCGGAAATTTCTTCTCTCCAATATTTTCATGTTGAGAATGTATGCTAACACTTTTTTCAATCTTCTCAAATGATATGGAATGCAGTACAGAGCATCTCATTAAACATGACCTCCAAACTATCCGAAAGCAAAGAACAATGATCTTTCAACCTCTTGTTAATTTCAGTGATATATTCTTCGTAGTACTGTCTTGAATTTCGTAAGTTGGTAGTGTGAATAATTTAATTGCACCTATGTTTCAGATTCAAGACCACATTCTACCAACTCTCCCTTCAAACCGTGGTGTAAGGAGAACAGCTTCGATTTTTTCCTTTTACGCTCCCTAACGAAGTCGGCAAGCATTGTTACAGGTCCACCCTTTGAGTCATAATCTCTGAAATTTTTCTTGGTAATCTTGAGAAAAATACGGGCATTAATTTTTCCTTTTCCTGAGTCATCCCGTCAAGTCTTCTTCTTTCCGTAAAAATTTGATGAGAGTACTGGTATTATAATTTTTTTTAATTTCGTCCGCAAACGTTGGAACATTTTTTCCTTTATCAATTCGGAGGAAGTGGAGATGAAGTGGAAGTAAATTTCTAATAAGTTTTTTATACGAATAATATTACATCCCAATATTATTGATCTTCTATCATTATTATCATTATACCTATCAAAAAATCTTATAACACCGCCAATTGATTCTTAAGAACTAAACATTAAACTTCCATTTATAGTAGAGATAACCCATGTTTGAGGACGAAGATATATATCACCAGATTCTAAGTCATTTTCGCCATCACCATATATTTCGTCATGACAGAATTTTCTTACATCAAAACAAAATAAAGTGATGAGATGTTCATTTTCATCATTATCTACACAATTAGACATTGCAATAGACCAACAAAGGTATTTCCACATTCAAGTGTAAAAATACATTTACTTGAACTTAAATTATAATGATTATATAACTTAAATTCGTTTCGTATCTATTATTTTAATTATTTTTGAATTATTAAAGGTTCACCAAAGTTAAAGAAATAAGTAAATAAATATTAATAAATGACCTTACTATAATTTGTAATTTAAATTATTTTAATTATTTTTTGTTTTTTTAATGTAATTAATTCAAGCTAATAAAATGAAATACTTCACAGTTGTCCTCTAATATACATAACTATTATATTTTGACAAATATTCTATAATCATTATTTATATTTTATAATTATTATTTTCTTAATAATCATTTTAATTAACTTTAATGTCAATTAATGTTAATTTTTAATTTTAACGATAAAATTAATGTGATATTTTTAAAAATTTAATTGCTAATTCGTATAAGAATGATTCTGATGTAATTATTTCAAAATCCTTGATTATTTACATTATTTAACGTTTACATAATACTAATTTTTAAATAAAAAATATTAATTTTATATTTGAATAAATTTTTTATTCAGATATTTTTTTTCTAATTGTCATAAGAACAGGATTTCTGAAGTGGATTAATGAAAGTAAAGAATGTTAACAACAATGTTAGTTGTCAATAGTTAGTAGATATGGATATGATGATTATGTATTTACTAATATCTCTGGAACACATTCAAAGTCACTATTAATCCTATCCTCAAATATAGCTTTTGCCATAATGGTTTATAAATTATAAATTCTCTCTCTTCACATGGTAATCAATAATTATAACAATAAATACAACCAAGATAATATTATTCTATTAATTTTGCTACTAATAGTTGAATAATAATAATCTAGAATTATCAGCAGCTGAAGCATAAATTTAATCAATATTAATATTAGGTAAAGTAATAAAAATTCAACCACCTCCAATACACATGGGCTTTATTGCAAATGTGTAAATAAAATACAATAAATACTTATCATCATTGTTAACAATATATATGTAATAAATGTAATTATTGTTACAATAACTACTAAAATGCTTTGAGATATGGAAGGTAGCAGCAACAACATGATAAATTAATGAGTGTAATTATATAGAAAAATGTTAGTTTAATTAAAAGAATTTATAAATAAGAAATTATTTATTTAGCGCGCGGTTTCTTTTGAGAGATATATCTATTCTATAAAGAATATGAAGAAATCAAAAATGAAATTAAAAAAAATGTTGCAATATATGGAGATTATACTTTCAAGCATCAACTCACACACCATTACATAAATCCATATGACCTTCGCGTAAATAAAATGCAAAAAAAATGCTTACCAAATTTATTGAATTATTATCTTCATTTTTAACAATATGTATTAATATACGTAATAATAATATTATTATAATAATTATTAAATAATAAGAAAAAATAGTTGAGGATATGGAAAATATATTAGCAGAATAACATGAGTATAATTATGCAAAAAAAAATATTTATCTAAAAAGGAATTCTTAAATAGAAATTATTTATTCTGCGCAGTTTCTTTTGGAGATATATCAGTAAAGAATAAAGGAATGAATATGTATTCTGAGAAAGATGTTGCAACATATGGATTATCCTTTCTAACATCGATATGCTGTAAAATGATCAATCCTTAATTTTTTTGATTACCTGGAATTTATCATTATTTAAAAAATTATTTCCCTACTCACACTATATACACCACACAAAATCTACCCCAATATCCGCCATTCTTCAGGAATCATCATATTATATCCCAAAACTCTACACTCACTCAACCAATACTCAATAATCTCGATACTAAATAAATATAATAATAAATCAACTAAAGAAAATTATATATTCGTCCTGATGTTATCAAAGAAATCTTACAATATTTAGAAAACGATATCTCACTTCCCACTCGTCTTTTAATAGAAAACTTTGGTGTATAACCATTCCTTATTATGGTATAATCCATTAACTCGAACATAAATAGCAACAATAATAAAATATTTTATTCAATAAAATAACAATAATTACAATAATAACTATGTTCAAAGAATAAATAAATATCGGGGAATTTGATCATAACCACCCACTGAATCATTCATCATCATGATGATTTGTTATTACAATACAATTTGTACTTGAATTTATATGAATTAGATTTTTATAAGAATTTAAATTAAATTAATTATATGATTATTTAATAATTAAATTGGACATTTAACGAATTTATATAAACTGTAGAATTTAATGAATTCATATAATTTTTTTTTACTCTTTCTACATATCGCTTTATTATTTCACAAATAAATTTACGAAATATAGAATTAAATATAAGACAATGAACATTATCAATCACCTTAATTGTCATCATCATTATTAACATTATAAAGAGATAATTGCTCAAATTCTAATATAAAATAAGTATTTTTAAATAAATATTAATTATGACTAATTGTAAAAGAAAGAATAAAATTTTACCTTCAGGGATTACAAAATCAAATTGCTTAGTTTCATATTCTAAATATAAATGTACAATATTATATAATATTTATTAATTGTAGATTCTAATTGGAATTAATAATTTGAGCGATTTACCTTTTTGTGCTTCTATTAAGGTTTTAAAAAAATTAAAAAAATTAATTAATAAAATATAAAATAAAATGAATAAAAAAATAAAAATTATTTATGTTACCTTCTGCGACATTTCTAAGTTGGGCTGAAACATTAAATATATATAATTTACTAGTTTGGAACTTTTTACTACTTTTGATTTTCGTTAAACTTGATTGGGAAAATTTCGATTCTGAACTTTTAGATTGAATAGTCAGTTTTTGCTTATCCATTTCATCATATCATAACCGAATTAATGATTGCAGTTTATCATAAATTGTTTCTGCATCAGGTCTATTTTCAGGATTAGCATTCTAACAATGTTTCATTAAAGTTGCATATTCATATGGAATATATTCATAAATTTTAGGTCTATATCCATTAATAATTGCAAGAACAAAATAAGAATCAGAATTGAATTCACGATCACTAATTGGAGTTTCACCAGTAATCACCTCCCACATTATAATACCTAAACTATACACATCTGATTTTGTCGTATAATTTTCTTTAAATAAAACTTCAGGTGCAATGTATGGGAGATTCCCATAAATAGTATTTGAGGGTTTGTCAACTGGCCCACTCAATCCTAAATCACTAACATACCAGCTACAATTCGATGCTTCATATAAAATATTTCCGGAGTGCAAATCTCTATGTGCTATATTTAGTTCATGAATTAAACATAAACAATACGTAATTCTGAGAATAATAAAATATTTTTGTAATAATGTAAGTAATTGATAATTATCTTTTAAAAAATGTCTTAAATCATTATCATATCGATTTAAAAACAGTATGTAATCTTGGGTGGTTGGATCTTTAGTTAGTCCGTAACAGATAACAAACCATAAGGATGTTTTATCAAGTGCGAAACTTAATATCACCAAATGATTTTTTGTACTTATGTAATTAATATTTCTGAAATGTCAAACTGAATATATAATAAATGCAATAATAATTTAACTTACTTCTTGAGACCAATGTACAATATCATTATTTGAGTTATTTAATCGTTTCAAAACAATCTTTTGTCTTTCAGATCTTTCCAATATTTGTCTTTCGGAATTCCATTTTTTATAATGTCCATCTTTCCAAATTGCTGTATAAATGGTAGCAAATCCTCCTTCAGTCAGACGTTCGACATTCCTCAAATTGATCATATTCAATCCA